TCGAATTTCTTTGTATGAACATTTTTTATAGAAGAATAGAACGAAGACGAATGTCGAATCCCGCGTTGGCTTGAACTGTTTCTTCGGTTCCGCTGCTCCTCGAAAAGTAAAAAGGGGGAACGACGAGGAGGAGCGGAGAAACGTACGCTTTTTGCGATGCCCTCTTCTTCCGCGGATCGAACCGTTCCCCCCTCGGTTCCCTTCGGAAATCGATTAAACCCGTCGGATGACTTTATTTTCGTGTACATGACCGGTGGCGTGTAACCGGATCGGTTGACAAGCGGAAGATGAGTTTATCGGCTGGTCAAAAACTCGCGTGGACACGCGCGTTTATCGATCATCACTGCCGATGCTCGGTAATTGATTTGATACGCCGGCTAGGATTCTATAAATAGTTTTCGATACGTCGCGTGAAAAATGTTCGACGTCGAAAGTGAATTTAGTTTCTCAGATACGAAACCGAGCGAGCAACTAATTTTTCTTAGTCACACGATTTTTCGTCTGACTTTCGAATTAACACTAGATTGCCCAAGGAAGTCATTTTGACTGCTTTTGGGCAAACGTACAAATAATAATGCATAAATTATTTTTTCCCAAGTGAAGTAAATTTTTTTTTTATTGTTAACATTTACTAATAACTTGTTATATGACTGTAAATAATATAAAAAATATTAAATATTAATTTTAGACAAATTTCTTTACACTTTTATTCTTTCACAATGCAGTCATTTTTACTGCTTTGGGCAATATAGGTATATACTAAGTTTCAGTCTTTCTAGTGTTAAAATTTGTAAGAAAGACCAGCAGAAATTTTTATGGGAATTTGTCGGTGAACATAAAACAATGAATGCATGTTTTCTGAACGAAGTCCGTCCAGACGAAGAACGGTCGGCCATTGGAAAGGTTAAAAGTGGCCGGCGATGATTATCTGATCGCGAACGGGTCTCCAGGGTGGAATTCCGAAGTTATGCCGTTCCGGTTCCATTAAATGATTAATGGTTGCGAGTTGCTGTCGCTGATTAATGTTTCAAGTCGCGGCATCGACGCGACACGGTTCGAGGGCACGGCCCCAAGTTCGTTCTCGCGGCGCTCAAAGCGAAACACGAATTCTCCGAGGAACCATTTCGATCGAAAGATACTGCACGCGCACGCCGAGGGTACTTCCCGCCGCGAACTGTTTAAGTAGAACCCGCGACCGGCGGCTCTTCCGTTAATTAGATAGGAAACGCTATTTATCATCCGGATCCAACCGTCCTAAGCTACGACCGAATTTATAGTCATTTCTCAGTTCTCAATCTCAGTTCCCAACTGATTATTATTACACATTTATGTATTTCGTAATATACATGATTTATGAAAATCGAACATATATTTTTAAACGTTTCATTTCATTGTTGAATTCTTTTAAATTTCATTCAAGCGTCATTAAGGTAGACTTACTTCAATAAAAGTTTAAAAAGTCTTATTCACTAATGAAATTAAACGTTTAAAAATGTATCCTCGATTTT